TTCACGATGCACGTCCTGTATCCCTCTGTTCAGCTGGCTCGTCCTCCCTAGTCTTACAGGCACACGGTTTCCTTTCTCAAGAACCGTCGTCAGAGCTACGTCACTGTCATAAGTCAGAGTAGGTCCCTGTAAATCCACCGCCTGTACAGACCTGTGACTGACGCCAGGCTGCAGCCTGGGGGCAGTGTTCACAGTCGTCTGCTGCTCTTCACCATTAAATCCGGGAGAACTCCCAGGTCTCAAAATACACCTGAGGGCACACTTCCGATTTCTAAATCACACCAGGATAGAGTATGTACACACGCACACGCACACGCTTGTGAACCACTCCTGCTTTCAACACAGATATAACTGTACTAATTAACACATTAGCAAACTGAATCCATCGTTACATAAAAAACAATATATAACAACCAAGTCGAGCTTTCAGAATTGTAGGGATGTTTCAGTAGGAGAAAATGTATTAACGCAACCCATTACATCCACAGATTTAAGGAGAAGGTCATCTGAATGGGTGCCCCCAGGTTCTAAAAGAATCCATCATCCTTTCCTGATAAAAGCTAGAAAGAGAAGGAAACTCCCTCTCTTAATAAAAATGGTTTAATGGGAACCTAAAAACCTCAGTTTTGATGCTAAAGTATTACATTTGCTCCGGTGAATGTCTGGAGTAAGGCAAGAACGGTGTGAGGGGCAGAATGCCCCTCCAGAGCTGTCCACGCCCTAGTCCCCGGGACTGGACCATGTTCCCTGCAGGGCAAAAGGGATCTGCAGCTGTGATCAAAGTGAGACTTTTCAGATGGGAAGACTGCCCTTGAGCATCTGGAGTGGGTCCAATGTGGGCACAGGGGTCCTCATAAATGGAAGAGGGAAGCGGAAGCGGGGGAGGGAGAGTTCGAGGCAGAGGTTTGGAGAAGCCCCCTGCTGGCTGCGAAGACACAGGAAGGGGCCGCGGAATGGAGCACTGGGGCCTGGGGAACAGGGGGCGGAGTCTCCCCTTGGAACAGGGGGCGGAGCCTGGGCAGGAGCACAGTGCTGCAGGCACCTGAGCTGAAACTAGTGAGAGCCATTTGGACTGTGGCCCCAGCACCGTAAGATGACAAGCTGGATTGCTGTAGCCACTAGGTGACGTAACAGCAGCAGGAAACACCTGCCACCCTGCACTGGAGGCCACGGCCAGTGTGGCAGGAAAAAGAACCCAGTACAACTACAGGAAAGAAAAAGCCAAGATTGTCATTGTTTGCAAACATGTCTTGCCATCAGAAAATCAGAGAATTACCTGAAATGTTTATGTTCATGGTAGAGTTCAGTAGAGGTGCCCAGAAGGAGATCAATATAAAAACATAGAAAATGTGACAGGAAAGGATCTATTCATTATCACAATAAAACTATAAATACCTAGAAATAAATCCATTAAGGAACCACAAATCTCAAAAAACTAAAATTTTACTTAAAGACATTTAAAACAATAATGACAAAGACACACCACATTATTAAATGCTACTCACTTTTTTTTTTTCAAATTAATCTGTAAATTCAATACAATCTCAATTCCAACAGAGAATTGGTAGGATGTGATTATAAATTTTACCTGAGGAGAAAATGAGCAAGAATAGCAGTCCTACCACAGAACTATAAAAAATAAGAAATAAGAAAAAAGTGAAGATAAACCGACTTGCCTTATCAGATATCAAGACAGTGTATCACTCTAGTAAACAAAACAGTATGGTTTTGTTTGAAGAACAGAGAAATTGATCACTTTCATGGAAGTGTAAATCCAGAAGCGCCCCATTATGTATGGGAATGTAACACATGGCCGTAGTGGTATTTCAAGTTAGTGATTTTAACAACTAACTAACTAACTAACTAACTAACTAACTAACTAACTAACTAACTAACTAAGAGCTATTTAGCAAACGATGATGGACTGCCAGCTATCCTTCGGGGAAACATTGGTCCCTAGCTCCCACCACGTATGAACATATATTCTGTGCATTTGTTTGGAGCCCGACTCCATGGTCTCACCGTGCTGCTGGGTCAAGAAGGCAAAGCCCAGGCCATCCCTCAGAGCTGTGTTTGCGGTGAGCATCCCTGAGGGATGAAGTGAGGTCACTCTGCTATAAAGCTCCTTGTAAAGGAAATGGGTGCTCTGTGTCACCTCCCCCCAGGCGTGGGGCCCAGGGGGACCCCACAAATATGCTGCTGCCCAGCTGTGAGCAACACAGTCCTTTGCCTCTGACCCAGGTGTCTCATGTCCTCTGCAGGAATCCATGACACAGTAACAAAGTAGCTAATTAGCTAATCAGTGCAATAAAACCAAATCCCATGACCCCACAGGATTCAAAAATGAAATGGAAAGAAACAAAGCTAAAGAAGTATCAGAGGAAAAGACGGACTGGTATTTTATACCCTGGAGCTGAAAAACAGTCTCGAGAAAGCACAAAATCAAGAAACAGTAAAATAAAAAAGTAAAACGAATGTCACAGATACAAGAGACAAGTGCACCTTGACGGAGAATATTTTAATGCATATTAATATCATAATATGAGAATAGATCCTAAGAATCAGTGAGTATTTAACAAAAGTGGGTAAAGCATGTAAGTGGGCGGCAATTCACAGAAGAAAATGTAAGTGGCCAGCAAACTTGCAGAAAGATCCTTACCCTGACCAGCAATAAGGAAACACAGACGCAAGTGAAGTGGAGATAAAGTTCCCCGGAGACCAGAGCAGGTACACACAGCCCTCCTGGAGGGCATTTTTGGAGAGCATGAACCGTCTCTATTCAACTTATGTTTAGAAACTTTTTGAGCTCCGGAACCATCTTTAGCAAGTGAACCCATTTATTGAACTCTAGCACATGAAGTGCAGGCTCCAGCCTCCCCCCACCCCGTGGCCCTCTGCCCCCCACGCCGGACCCGAGGAAGTCAGCCTCCTCCGCTCCAAAGCCCTGGCCTGGGGCAGCGTGTGGAACCAGTCCCCTGTTGCACGTCAGCGAGTGGAATGGAAACATGCGGCAGGGCGCACGGTGGTGGGGGCCTCTCGGGAGGTGGGGGGGACCTCCCCCAGAACACCGAGAGCATTGCTCCCAGATTGATCTCATCGCTGCGTTTGGAACAAGCACAGCTGCCATGCAGTATTAGCAACTGTTTGAAACAAAGGAAATCCCATCAAAACAAGGCTTTACAAAGCAGCTGGGAAGCATGGTGCTTAATCAGGGAAAAATAAATAAAGCCGACCAAGCAAGAACCACCTGGATCAGGGGTCACTGAACAAGTCACAGAGAACAAGACTGGAGAGGTCTCTGGAAGAGCTGAGACAGGGCTGAAAGAGTGAAATCTTTGAAGTGTTCTGTTTGCAATTTGTACAGAAAATTTGAAATTTACAAAGACCTTCAAATTGATCAAAATAAAGATCACCTGCCCGGATGCCGTGACTCTCGGAAGACGCGTTGTGTGGTTTTGAGTCCCAAACCCTGTGAGGTCCTTCTCAGGCAGCGTTGCTAATGCTCAGTTATTCCACAAGGAGCCACACCATCTGGGTGTACAATCCCCAGGAGTGAGCCTTCTGCTGGACTTTCAAACAGGCATCAAATTTAGTCCCAGATGACCTCAAAGAGACCTGCTTGGGTCTAGCAGGAGGCTGAGCCAGGTAGGAGGGCAGGGAGAGGCTGGACGTCAGTCAGCTCCTCCCAAAGTGGATCCTACAACAGGTGCTACTTCACCTAACCACCTCGGTCCTTAGCTTTCCTCTGACTCCGGGCTTCTACCTCCGGAAGCGACGAGAACATCAGCCCCACCACCCTTATCCATTCACAACACACAACTAGAAGCTGTGCCAAAAGGGCCACTAGCAGTGTCACCGTCGCCCCTGCGGGATGGGGGCCGGGAAACACGGCCAACACTCTCCTTGGACTTGATGTAGCGGCTGGGGCTTGTGAGGACTGTTAGATAAGTACATGAGTGGGCTCTGCCCTGAGGAAGCTTGGGATCTAACTTAGTGACAAAACTCACTGGAGTCGAATATGCAAAGGACATGAAGGGTTGCCTGTGGCATCACACAGAGGTGCGGACAGAGTCCAGGGAGAGGAGAAGCCAGGAGGGGGGCTAAGGGGAGCCCTCTGTCTGTCAGCCTCTTGTTCTGCATGATGCTTGACCTTGGCCACACACCGAGTCGCCTGGGGAGCTATAAAATCCTGGTGCGTGGTCCACCCACGGAAGTTCCGGTGTGACTGGTCTGGACTGGGTTGGACCTGGGCCTCAGATGTACGAGCTCCTCGGGAGACTTTAACGGGACTAACAGGAGCTTCTAACGGACGGGAGAGTTCAGAACATCTGGTCCCCAGAGCCAGATACCGGAGGAGCAGTCTATGAAACGGCCACCGGTTCGGGCGGTGGAGGTGACTGATGGACTCCCAAGAGCGGGCTCACTGGGTGCAGAGCAGGAGGCGCCGGGCAGGAGGCGCAGGGGCGGTGAGCCATGTCCCGGGTGAGCGAAAGGTCAAGAGCTCTTTGGGAATCAGCCATCAGCCCTGAGTGACAGAGCGCAGGGTGGGGGGTCAGGAGAAAGCTCCACTTGGTTTTTGTCCTTTAAAAAGAGAGACTTTGGCTGTTTCCACAGAGAGAGAAGAGCCAGGAGAAAGCGTTTGAAGGGGAAGGGGCCTCCGTTAATGAGACCGCGAGACGGCGGAGCAGGGTCAGGACTGGAGCACGGGGGTGACGACCAGCCGAAGGAGCGACGACGTTTACCCAGCGCGCTTCGCAGGGCGTTCGCGGGCACCGGCCAGTGCGCCCCCCGAGTGCCCAGAATCGGGGTTTGGGCCGTTCCACATTCATGCCATTTGCAGCCTAACGCTCGAAGAGAGCACACTGATCAGCAGGTCTTGTTGCAGGCCCCACGCGCTTCATCGCGAAGGACTGGAGGAAGGGTGGGCGGCCCACGCGCGAAGGAAAAGGGCTGAGAAAACCCGTCCATATTAAAGTGCCGGAGCCGCGCCGCCCCCGTACCTGAGGGCCATGCTGTGCGCGGCCGTTCCCAGCGCTCTCCTCCCGAGGATGCACAGGGCGAAGGACAGGGTCACTAGCGGAGAGTCCTCGTCACTGTCCAGGGTCTTCGGAGGCTGCAAGAGCGGAGACGTCCACTCAGCCACCACAGGGCCCCGCGCAGGGCTGGGGGGCACTTCCGGCCGGCGTGGCTCCCTGTCCTCGCCGCGGTGACCGGCCTGGATCTCTGCTCCCGAAGTACTTCCCCTGCGCTGGACGTGCCACAGGAGTGTGGGCAGGGAGCCACTTCAGGGAGGAAAGGGCAGCATGCGGCTTGCTGAGCCGATTGCCTGGGGTTTTGCAGATCGCACTTCTTGTCGTGAAGATGGACAGAGATTATAGTGACCAGATGCTGCCCTTCCCTGTCCTGTGCCAACCTTCACCCTGTCCACGCCCCCTCACCCCGTCCGCGCCCCCCTCACCCCGTCCGCACCTCTCTTACCCTGCCCAGTGCCCCCCTCACCCTGTCCGCGCCCCCCTCACCCCGTCCACGCCCCCCTCACCCCGTCCGCGCCCCCCTCACCCCGTCTGCGCCCCCCTCACCCCGTCCGTGCCCCCCTCACACTCTCTGGCAGGGGAGAGGCATGTCTGGCATGAAGAGGCGTATAGGACTCATGTGCAAATGAGGCTTTCTGATCTCCCCCTAACGAGAGCCCACTGAACTGACCACAATTAACAACTAAAGTAAGGGAGTCATCCAGAGTCAGCTTAAAAACGTGGCAGGGGACGGGCAGAAGAAATAAAGTCAAAATATCTTTAGCAGGAAAAACAATGACTTCATGAACCCACGGAGGAAAGCGCCATTGTGGGAACAGTTAAGGGTACTGATAGAACCCTGGTGCATCTCCGCCCGACCAGACCGAGGGGGGCGCGGATGTCAGCACGCAGTGTCCTTGCTGCACTGGTGGGCGCAGGCCTGCCACCTGCTCCTCCCACCACCTGTTTGTAACACTCATGAAAAGGTCAAGGACCTGGGCAGTGCCGTGACCCTCTACAGGTTGTAGGACAGCCTTCGCCAGCGGCCCTGGAGGTTGTTTTCAACTCGGATCTACTGTCTCCATCCACAACACCTGGATTCCGCTTTTCCCCGACAAGGAAAGTCAGCGGACTCGCTCCATTTGCCTCTCGCCCCTTTCTGCTGCTCCGTGCTCACCCCCCTCCACTTCTTTTCCTGACCTGTCATTGTCCTCGCTTTCATTTCTAAGGGGCTGCACCTGTCCCAAGTCCGCGTGTGAGCAGGGACGCACAAGAAGCAGGACTCAGGGGTCACTCGGACCAACTGATCGTGAATAGAACTTCACGTTCACAATTCAACATGTGCAGTAAACCCCGGGATTTCACACACATGTACTTTGTGCAGAAATCTCAAAAATTAACATCAAACGAAGATGTTTCCAGAGCTTTAAAGCTATGATAGAGGCTTAAAACACTCTGACCCTGAGACCAGACTACAGGGAAATAGACCTTCAGGGCTGCTTCATCAGAGTTACGGCATATGAATTCTTTCAACTGTTAACTTTCATCCAAATACCACTGTTTTTTCTCTCCTTTACTTTGTTATGGCCTACCAGAGAGTTGGAAAGAGATCGACTGTACAACGTTCCTGGTTTCATAAACGTACAGCCATGAGCTCCGCCGCCGCCCCTCCCTACCTCGTGTCTTTTCCGCGCGCAGTACCGGATCCACTCGAGGTAGACGTTACAGAAGCTGGCGCGGGTGATGCCCTGGAGACACGGCACGTAGTCGTCATCGATGTTGATGCTGAACATTGCAAGGTCTCGCTCGATATAATGCCACTTGGCAAAAGGCTGCAGGGACTTCAGGAGGGACTCGTTTTTGATCCAGGAGAGGAGTTTGGGGGATGTCACCATGTAGTATATGATGCTCTGCAGAGAGAAAGCAAGAGTATGAGCCCTTGCAGGCCCTCCAAAGCCAGAAAGACTTGTTATTTATTGCATCGCATAAAGCCCACTGCTATTGGAGACGTAGTTGACGTGAAACCACAGGCGTGGTGTACTTCCTGCCGGTTTAATGGACACCCCCTGGAGACACTCCAGAACGCTCTCTCTAAGGGTCGCTGTGGGGAGGAGGGAAGTGTGAAGAACAGAAGAGTAACAGAATGTACCAGAACAGACTCTCCCGGGGAGAACGAACGCCGGCCAGCCCTCCCCTGTCTGAGAGGCACAGGAGAGACCCTGGGTGGCTGCAGGCTTCTGGGGACGCCAGGCTGGGCTGATCCTGCCGAGAGACTGGCAGCCCCTCTTCCAGGCCGCGGGAGTGAGGAGCTAAAACAGCATCTCTGTGATGCGGGGGCTCTGAAGCGGAGCTGTAACACCCATGCCCAGGTGGCCCCTTCCGATAACCTGTTCCCCTCGGCAGACACTCCTGGGAGCCCGCTGGGGAGAAACCCTCAGGCTTATTCCAAGTCGCAGCTTGACTGAGGCCAGCTGGAGGATTCCCAAGGGGCTCCTCTTTCCCCGGCAGCCCGGCCTGGAGGAGCAGCCGCGGGACTCCTGCTGTGACGTGGGCCCAGCAACAGGTCGGACCGCGGTACCATGGCGGCCCCGACCTTCTTGCCTCTCATTTTCTCAGGACAGCGGGGCCGAGGCGGCCGGGAACCTTGCTCTGCCGCTTCTGGAAACCAGGAGCCACACGGAGGGGCAGCCTTCGGTGCCAAGAGGAGTGATGTGTGTCCCCGCAGTCAGACCCGTAACTGATGGCCTTCTCTGCCTAGAAACACAGCCCCTTCCCCGCGGGGCACAGTCCTGCACGTGCAGTGGACGTGAACGGGCTGTGGTGACCGAGACGTGACAGACTGGCAGCCCCAGATGCTGGGACGCGAAATCTGCTCGGGGTGTGTGGTTTCAGGCTAGTTCAGGAGTGCGCACAGGTGAGGCAGACACACGTGGTCTCTCGATTTGGGCGAAACAACCAACACCTGAGTCAGCCTCGCTCTGCCGTTAGGACGGAGGGCGGCCCGTGATCTCTGCAGGCTCCACCGTCCTCCCGACCCCCAGCGGGAAATGGGGGCGGGGGAAATGAAGGCCACGGACAGGAGGTAGGATTCAGAAGGTCACAGGTGCCAAGGACAGTAGGGCTGGTCTTAGGAAAGCCCTTGGATGGCAGGTGTCAGGAGGGAGGGGCCAACGGAAGGCGAAAGCAGGGACAGAGACAGAAGCACCAGGACGCTGGTCCCATGCTGCTTCCAGGCCTAAATGAGACCATGTGGATGAAGCACTCAGCACCTGGCCCGGGACATGCCAGAAACAGCAGCAGCACCGCATCTCTGATCCATGACTCGCTGCCCAACAGGCTGGGTCCCAGCCGGGTGAGGGCACGGGGCTCAGCTGTCTCTGTGGTGGTCACAGTGCACACCTATAGGCTGGGTCCCAGCTGGGTGAGGGCATGGGGCTCAGCTGTCTCTGCGGTGGTCACAGTGCACACCTATAGGCTGGGTCCCAGCTGGGTGAGGGCATGGGGCTCAGCTGTCTCTGCGGTGGTCACAGTGCACACCTACAGGCTGGGGTCCCAGCCGGGTGAGGGCACGGGGCTCAGCTGTCTCTGCGGTGGTCACAGTGCACACCTATAGGCTGGGGTCCCAGCCGGGTGAGGGCACGGGGCTCAGCTCTCTCTGTGGTGGTCACAGTGCACATCTCTATGGAAACAAAGCTCTGAATCTGGGGGCTTCCCCGTCTCCTCCCTGGCAGGGCCCTTCACAGCGTCTGCGAGGCTGCAGTGTAAGTCGTCAGCCCAGAATCACCAGCAAACGAGGCTCTGTGACTGTGGCCACAGCCTCGCTCTCCGCTGCCAGGGACAAAGGCAAAGCAGTGTGGTCTGGCCAGACAGCGGGCTCCAGCCAGCATCTGGTCCGGCTTCCCAGCAGGTCCTGATCACGTGTCCCGGACAGGACAGGAATAACAAACAATCGAAAGGAATGTTTACCTTTCCATTCATTCTAAGAAGGAATTAAAACAACCACTCAGCCAATGACATCAGAATAGTTAACAAGGACTTTGAAGTCCAGGGGTCAGAATTCCTTCCTCTAGGTCTGCGAAACCCGCAGTGTTGGCTCTGGAGCGTAGCCCCAGCTCCCTGCTGAGCTTTCCCGTGCGAGGGCTCGGGCCCTGGGCCCCCCCACCTGAGAAACAGAAGCACCCCAGCTGGTTTTGAGCCATACCCCATTTCCACTTCATCCAGGCAGAAATTCTGTCAGGGACACGTGCCAGTGACCAGAGTGAAGTCCTCCCGAAGCTGTCAGAAGGCGAGGACAGGAGACTTAGGTAAACTGATGAGCAAGGGCAGCGGAAATCAACTGCACAGCCCCTGATCCGTGTTGGAAGCAGGACCTCCTGAATCAATTCCCCCTATCTGGTTCCTCCGGCAGGACTCTCCGGGTTTCTCGTTCCGATTGTAGACCAGCCTGTCCTGCAGGACAGCTCGTTCAAGGCAGGGGGCTGGCAGGCCGAGGAACAGGGCCGTCTGGCTCACGTGCGAGGCGAGCGATAAGCCCATCTCCCTCCTGCAGGAGTCGGCATAACAGCGGCCGCGGGAAGCCCAGGCCTCCGCGGAAGGCGGTTCTGGACGGAGAAGGGGGTGTCAGCTCCAGCGAATGGAGCCGCGAAGGCAGGGCCCCAGGGAAACCTCCCGTCCAGGAAGAGATGATTTCAAATGTATTCGTGGAGGGTTGGGGAACTGACCCAGCTTATTAGGAGATTTAAAAAATCCTCTTGTGTTAAAGGAATTAGTCGCAGCTTTTCTTTTGGATTTGCCTAGCCAGTAAAAAGTAATAAAGATACAACCGAACTTGTGGAAGTTGGAGCGATTCAGAGCTACAAAGGCCGTTGTATTGACCCAGGAATCAAGACCTAAGAAAGTATTTATGACTTTCACCCTACACCGCTGTTTCTTCTTCTAACGGCCACTCCGCACTCCTGACATCTCCTCGAACCAGCTCCGCGAGCAGGAACGCGCACCCAGCCGGCCAGGTGGGGACAGCGCCCAGAGCCGGTCCAGGGCCGGTGCCGACGTGAGTGGCGCCCCGAGGCCCCTCTGCCCAGCCTCGGCCCCTCCTGAGTGCTGCTTCACAGTAAGAAGGTGTTGCTTCTATTGGGCACGAATCTGTCTGTAGTGGTCCCCAAGCCTAGTTGTGTATCAAATCATTTAGGAAACATTTAAAAATATAGGTGCTTGGGCACCTCGCCAGGCCCACAGAAAGAGTTTCCGGGTGGGACGACGGGGACACCTGCAGTCTCCTGGCTCACGGGGCGAGCCTGGTGCCTGGGTCGCTCCGGGCTCCTGAGAGGCTCCCCGCTGGGTAACGAACCGGCACCTGGCGCCCCTCCCGCCTCTGAGCCTCCGGGGTGGCTGCACCCCTTTCCTGGGAAACGGAGTGGAGGCCCACAGCTAATGACGGCCCGGCAAGCTCGGAGCCTCCTGTAGCCCCCGCCATCAGCACATTGTCCTGGAACTGCTCTTAGATTGAAAAGCGTCATTTCAGAGAACACAGAGGGGACGAGGAGGCTCGTCACCAGGCTGGGGGTGGGGTGTGCGTGTCCATTCCCAGCCCCAGGGAGGGAGGCATCCAAAAGCAGGTCCTGGCCTGGCCGGAGAGGGCACCCCATCCTCTGTCTCCCACTCACAGTGGGCGGCTGCCCCCATCCCGTGGCCGTGGAAAGGCCGTCATGGGGGGCTGCAGGTGCACAGAGAAGGGGCTCGGGATCTACCCCATTCCTACCGCGCTGCCCCCAGGAGGTCCCTCAGACCCCTGCCTGCCTCTGGTCTTGTCCATCAGGCTGTATGGCCCAGAGGCCAGATTCCACGCTACCCGGAAACTAGTTCATTTGTCCAACAGGTGCACTGGGCACCTCCACGAGCCAGTCGTCACGCGGATCTCTGGGGGCCCAAAGAGCCAGGATGTGTGTGGCCCTGTGCTGAGGACACGGCCAGAGGCGAAGGAGGAAAGGTTGCAGAGGGCGGGGGTGAATGTCAGCCTTGGGCCCCAGGGCGGATGGCGAGCGCAGGTGGGGAGAGAGCAGGTGGTGAGCGTGGGCACAGGGCGAGGAGCAGGAGCAGCCAGCGTGCCGGGGCAGGTGGGGGAGCAGCCAGCCTGCAGGTGCTCTGAAGGGGGAGGGGATGGGAAACAAGGTCAGCCGGTGGAGGGCCCTGGACGGCAGACAGAGGGCCCAGCCCTATTCTTGCGGCTACAAGGAGACTTCGGCGCTGGGGCTGGCCCCTCTGGCCCGCCTAGACCCCTCTGCTGGCCCCTCCGGCCCGCCTAGACCCCTCCGCTGGCCCCTCCGGCCCGTCTAGACCCCTCCGCTGGCCCCTCCGGCCCGCCCAGACCCCTCCGCTGGCCCCTCCGGCCCGCCCAGACCCCTCCGCTGGCCCCTCCGGCCCGCCCAGACCCCTCCGCTGGCCCCAGCTGCTTTCTCCAGAGTCAACTCCTGGCCACTGCGTCATGGGCCGGTCAGTCCCCGTGACCTGTCAGCCCCTGGATCCAGGCCTTCTGCCTGGCCCCCGCTTGTGGCTACCTATGAACTAAAGGGGGAATTCAAGGGACTCCTCTTTGTTTTGAGGGAAGTTAACATCTTTTTCTCCTTCCACAAACATACAGGTTCTAGCTGGGTTCATGGCTGCCCAGATGCCCTCAGAGCTGACATAGGACATCTGTCCCCAGTGGGGATGCAGGAGCTTCCTCAGGCCACTTCCAGGAAGCACTGGGGAGCAGCTGGTGTGGGCCTTCGGTCTCCCTTTCCTGTGCCCTCTTCTCCAGCCATTTAAGATGGGGGGAGGGGGGCACTTAGGGTGGGAGGGTCCGGGCCCGAGGCCTTCCTGGAGGAGAGCTGCCCAGCGGCCGGCACAGGTGCCATCGCTGCTCAGGACCCTCCGCCAGAGCCAGGGCGAGCTGGCCCCCTGCGGTGGCCCAGGCTGGACTTTTACTCTCTGAGGGGACAAGCCATGGAGCTGGAGGCAAGAGGTCACAACTCCCTGATTCACTTTCCAAAATCTTCCTCAATTCATGCAAAGTTGGGCAAAATAGCTACGGTTTTCTGTGAGATTTGGTTGCACCCCTCCAGCATGCTTGAAGGTGGTGGGAAGGAACCACAGAAGTCTGCAGTATTCTACCACGGAAGAGGGTGTCACAGACATTCCCGGTTGCAGTCACGTCGGGGTGTGACAAGAGCATTTAACTCTCTGACCTCACAGCAGTTCCATTTCCTGTCACCTTCAGCAGCGACACACTGGGTCCCCCCACGGCAGCGCCTCCAAATTTCAAAACATCCTCCTTTTAGTTGGTTAGCTCCTGAACCGCAGGCTCCCACGTTAGGTGTTCATTTTGTACTTCCTCGTTGCTACGGGACCACCCAGCTCAGCCTGGGCTGGCAGGGAGTTTGGGGTCTCGGATGAATGAGCATCCTCACTGTGAGTGGCATTAAAATGTGGACCCTCTGAGGACCGTCCAAAACTCCCACCACACAAAGCGCTCCCTCAGAACAGGGACTACCCCCAGGGACTGACCCCGCCGGCCCTTCCCCTTAGAAAACACTTTGGCCCAGATGTCATTCTGTGACCTTGGTTGAGGGTCACCCTTGTTCTCCAGGGGACTTATTCCAAACTGACACATTTCCTGTGTTGAACATACATTGGATGACATGGGTACCGAGTAAGAAGAAATTCGTGATTGGTTTCCCGTGAGTGAGGGGAAAAGGCTGTCGTAACTCACTGGAACAGGTCACGAAGCTATATTTTTGAGTCTAGTTTAGCTCACAGAGTAATCCTGGTAATTCTAAAGGGGAAATCTTCAGAGCATCTAAACAGGCGCCTGTAACAGGGAACATGGCTCGGTGACATTTCAGGATGTCGCAGTTCATCACCAGAACTGCCATGCCTCGTGCTACGTTAGAAGCGAGGGGACAGACCGAGGAGAGAAAACGGACTGCCCGTCGGAATAGGACTCTGGGCACGGACTCCGGCTGCACCGCAGCCCTCGGAGATTCTTCACAAAACCAGCAGTGCCAAACCCAGCTGGGCCTCACACTCAGGAGCCGAGCCTCAAAATCTAGCTCTTGGCAAAGCTTTTCAGGAAGCTCTTGAGCCAGCCCGGTGTTATTACTCAGACTGGTACCTGGGACCCCAGTGATACCTTGACGTAGTATCGGATGAGGACCCTGCGGAGGTCGAAGACCTGCAGCACGGTGGCCGCGTTGTTGTCTGTGATGCTGTAGCCCTCCAGGATGTACTGCGTCCGCGTGATCTCCCAGGTGAGCCAGCGGAGGTTGAAGGCCGCGTTGCAGGACAGCAGGTGGGGTAGGTGGCCCGGTTTGCAGCAGCAGCATCCTCTGTCGTCCTCATCGCCTTCCATGATGGCTTCCACCTCTCTCTGCTGGCAGTAGGTTCCTGGCAGAGTGCACACAAATACATACACACACACACACACGCACGCACGCACGCACATACACACACGATGTGAGTTATACAAGAAACCAGAGGACGACTTTTGTTTACAAGGGATTGACTTCCCTCTTACCTCTTTTGAGGGGAAGATGCTGAAGGGTCTAGGAATCAGGAGATTTGTTTAATTCTAAGTCACAATTCCATAATCACGAACTCTTTGATTCATTCCTACCATTCTGATTCTCGTCTCCTCCCCATTTTTCTGCTTCTTTTCATACCTACTCTTATTATATTTCAGATATCGTTGATGTCCTAGCTTTGACAGTCTGGACTCTGTCTTCCTTTAGAAAGACTTACGTTCTGTTAAGCAGTTAATTTATTTGCACATCAGCTTGTCAGCTTGATCCTTTTGAAACTTGTTCTTTTATTTTTCAGTTGTCGTTGACACACAATATTGTTTTAGTTTCAGCAGATGCACGACATGAACTGATCCCCCTGAGAAGTCTACCCGCCGGCACCAGACAGAGTTACTACGATGTTATCGGCCACATTCCCTGGGCTGTGCTTTTCGTCCCCATGACAACCTTTACAACTGGCAATGTGTACTTCTGAATCTCGCCCACGGCTCTGCCCAACATCCCAGTGCCCCTCCCATCTCCAATCTTTGTTTTTCATCTTTGGTGGGAATATCCGAGCAGGCTTTAGTCTAGGGCAGCGGTTCTCAACCTGTGGGTCACGACCCCTTTGGGGGTCAAACGACGCTTTCACAGGGGTTGCCTAAGACATAACAGTAGCAAAATTACAGTTATGAAGTAGCAACAAAAATAATTTTACAGTTGGGGGTCACCACAACATGAGGAACTGTATTAAAGGGTCGCGGCCTTAGGAAGGTGGAGAACCACTGGTCTAGGGTGATAATATCCCTTCTCTCAAAGGATGGTCTTTCTGGGGTCTGCACTGAGTTCCTGGGATGATCCACAGGAATTATTAGAATTTCTCCACCTCTCAGCCCTGCGCGGCCTCCCTCCTCCCTGCAGAGCTCACACCTCCCAGGCCTATACAAGAGCAGGCTAATATTCATCCAGTCACGGTGGGGGACTGTGTCCCTGTACGGACTTCTGCAGTTCCTGCTCCGAGAAATTCCCTCCTGTCTGGTCCGCTGACCCCAGAGCACCTGAGCTGCCCGCGCACCCGGAGCTCTGCTCCCTCCAGTGCAGCAGGACCACCCTGCTGTCTGGGCCCCTCCTGTACCGCAGGGGAGAGGTGCTCCCAGGGGAAGAGCCAGGGCAACCAGCAGCTCACTTCATTGTTTTCTTTTGCTCACCGATCAGAGCCTCGCACCCTCTGCTGTCCAGCCGATTCGTCTATTTCCTCAGTTTTGTAATTGCTTATGGCAGAAAGAACTACTGGTTATTCAGTCATGGCCAACAGAGGAAGTCTCTGAGTCCTTTGAGACTGGATTCAAACATGAAACCTGTCCCTATAGCCGTTTCCACAGGATCCCCTATTTCTGGGATCCCATATTATCATCCCAGGGCCTGGTACTTAGCAGGCGCTAACAAAGTGGTTGGAATGGCCGAATGAAGAAATGAAAGAACTCTTATGCAGATCACGGTATGCAAGGCAACAGACACCCTGCTGAGAAAACGCAGAGCAGATGCAACACACCTTTTACATCACGTGTGGTGGCAAAGAAAGGCAATGCTTATACTGAGCCTCTCTGCAGACCCCACGACTGAGAAGGTCGTAGGTCAGAGATGGAGAACTGCAGCCTTCAGATAATGAGGTACACACAGAACTGTTAGGCTAAGGGACACTGCCCAGGAAGGTTGAAGAAACGGACTGGTTAGGGGCGGTCCCAGCACAAGCCAGGAAGGACTGGGAAATTGGTTAGTTGGAAAGTGCCTGGTCCCTCCCAAGCCCAAGGTAATATACTCAAAGCTTGACTAAGGCAAGGTCGGCCGCTCTCTCGGCCCCCCTGACACATGCTCGCGTGCATTCTCTCTCCCAGCTGCCGTGCGGGCTGCAGGCCCTGCAGCGCCAGGACTCTCGGCGCAGGGTCCAGACCGAGCCTGCGCAGACTAATGCAGCGCAGGCCAGAGCACTGCCAGGAACACAGGGACACCAGCTGGATGGGGACAGGCCGAACCAGACTAAGCGTTGACACGGACTGAACCAATGCACAGAACTTCTGGACCCTGGACTTTCCTCCGGGCCTGATGAGGACGGGCTGGACTTCCACAGCAGGACGGAGCTGAGCCCAGGGCAATCCTCTGCTCGCTCCAGCTTCCGTAAATCTCACCCCCGTGCTCATCTTCCCATGCGTGGTCCCCAAAACGCTTTTCTCGTGACACCGAAGGACCCTGTTTCCACTGACAACATCATGATTCCATTTGTCTTCCACCAAGACCTCGCTGCTTTGGGTCTTAGCTGAAAGCACTCTTTCTTAAACATTTCAAGGGTCTCTTGGCTCATTCAGTAATATAAAACCTTTATTACCTCTGGGAAAGTTGTGTAGAAATACACAGGTGAACTGAGAGCCGTGAGTAATTCAGCTTGCATACTCTGGGGCACCCCGAATGAGCAATGACCACGGTGTGCTAACGGATCGGATCACTGGGGCCCCAGGGCTGCAGGCACCACTCCGGGGGTGGGAGCCGACTCACCCACCAAGTGGTTTGCTGCAACCTAGTAACGTAACTGAGGAAGAAACACTTCCAGTGAAACACTTGCAGTTAGAAATAAACTGCACAGGAAGACGCATAAAGGAGGACTTGCACCCCAATTAGACAGCAGAACTAGTTAGACGTTACATGGCATGCCTCAAAACCCGAGCTTTCTCCCAGTTCCCGCCCCCCCTTCCCCATGCAGTGCCAGCGTTTATCATGTTGAGCTGAATGTCAGGGCTTTTATGTTTTTTCCTCACATCAAAAAAACTGGAAAAAGTGTATGTGTGTGTGTTGTCCCTGTGCATCCATGTGCACACGGGAGGGTGCAGAGTTTGGACTGCTACCATCCCAGAGAAATAAATGAGCACCACACGCTGAGAACACGGGTGACGGAGGACAGGAGGAACGGGTGGCCATGAGCTCTGACAGGCTCGATGGAGACATCAGAACCACCAAAGGTTTCTCATAATCTCTCCACTCAGGTAGGTCTACATACCCCCTTAGGAACAAAAGATTCATCGTCTGAATCACACTATAAAAGAGCATGAAAAGAATGAAACCCAATTATTTCTGCATACGCACTGATCTTGCTGTTCAAATGCAGATCAAGGCCCATATGCTTCTCAGACAGGCTCACAGGACTTAGAGCACATTCCCTCCAAAGGGGACAGTTGAAGGTCAATGGCCCCCACACTCTGACCTTTCGCACCACTGGTGGAGATGGAGGATGAGTTGGCTGGCTGCATCTGTCTGGTGTCTTCATTGAAACTGACTCTTGCGATCTTTTGGGTTGCTGTGTTCCTGTGGTCTAAGTCAGTGGGACATAGCAGGCATTCACTAAATACGTTTAAAATTGATCTTTTTTTTTTTTTTTTTATCCTCACCCGAGGGTATTTTTCCATTTTTTGTACAGATAGAGTGGGAGGGAGAGAGAGGAAGGGAGAGAGAGAGAGAAACATCGACGTGAAGGGACACATCGAGTGGCTGCCACCCGCACGACCAACCAGGGCCGGGGACAAACTGCAACCGAAGTACGTGCCCTTAGCAGGAACCGAACCCGGGTCTATCCAGACCGCAGGCCGATGCTCTAACCGCTGAGCCAAACCGGCCAGGGCTAAAATTGATCTTGAGAGAATCTTGGAGTCTCTCAGTTCTGACAGAGCAGAAGCCTAATTAAAGCTGTGCATGTTTAGTGTTTGAGCTGAAAATGCATTTATCAGATCCCAGATGTCACTACCAGATCCCAGAAGTCACTATCAGATCCCAGAAGTCACTATCAGATCTCAGATGTCATTACCAGATCCCAGAAGGCACTATCAGATCCCAGAAGGCACTATCAGATCCCAGAAGTCACTATCAGATCTCAGATGTCACTATCAGCTCCCAGAAGTCATTATCAGATCCCAGAAGGCACTACCAGATCCCAGAAGGCACTACCAGATCCCAGCAGTCACTATCAGATCCCAGAAGTCACTATCAGATCTCAGATGTCACTATCAGATCCCAGAAGTCACTATCAGATCTCAGATGTCATTACCAGATCCCAGAAGGCACTATCAGATCCCAGCAGTCACTATCAGATCCCAGAAGTCACTATCAGATCTCAGATGTCACTATCAGCTCCCAGAAGTCATTATCAGATCCCAGAAGGCACTACCAGATCCCAGAAGGCACTACCAGATCCCAGCAGTCACTATCAGATCCCAGAAGTCACTATCAGATCTCAGATGTCACTATCAGATCCCAGAAGTCACTATCAGATCCCGGATGTCACTACCAGATCCCAGAAGTCTTGCCACACAGGATATGTATCAATTTCCTGAGTGCGCCCCAAGTCGGGGGAGCCATTGTTGCTGCGGCCAGCAGCCCTCTCCTGACCACTGGACCTTCTCCTCCTCCCTCTCCTTGTTTCCCAAGGAGCAAGCCCATTAAGTGCTTTTCGCCACATCTACCAGAGACAGCCAGGCCTGGCTTATTTATTCACACTAATTCCAAAACGGAGTGAAATCAATCTAAAAAGGCACACACAGTAGGAAAACAAAGGATAAAATTCAAGTGAAAATGGGGACAAGAAAAATATGTTGAAGCCAGAATAATGTCAAAAGACCCTAAATGTCCCACCATGCCCTATATATTGCCGAAGGTCAGTCACAGATTTCCCGCAGGCTTCCCAGTAGCTGGTGAAGAAGGAAAACTTGAATAGTTTCTTGTGTCCTTATGACAAAAATAAAACAATGGTTTGGAGGGGTCATAGCTATTCGTGGCAAAGATACTGGAGAGATGGTATCCCCAGGACCCTCACAAGGAGAACGCTGTGCAATACGGTGAACACCA